CCCAAACAGAGCATATATGTATATCTGGTGCTCCAAACGAAGCAACTTTTTATATATTCTTGAGCACATTTCAATATCTGGTTTCGTACCAATTTATTTTTTCTTAACTTTATTTCTCTTTTTCTCCCTACAAGCCATAAATGTTCAGAAGAATGTTGGGTTGCTAAATTTAAAGTAGCTTGCTATTATGAGTAAAAAATAGGATATTTTTTAAGTTTGTTGATAAAATAAAGTTAACTGATATTATGACTTATGAGTTAAATTAAACTACAGTTTGGAATTTTGCTAAAATGGAAGTAGCTTGCTATTATGAGATTTTTTATATGTAGCTAAAATGGAAGTAGCTGTATATATTGGGGCTTGAAATCAATTTCATCCCTTCCAATTATGAACCTGTTTATTGAAACGTTCATTGATTTGATAGTAGTGATACAAGTATCACAATTTCATTAAGAGTTTTTTGCTTTATTTTTGTGATTTTTGAATTCTTTTAATATCAATATCAAATATTTATAATTGATCAAATTGTGTTTTAGTCATCAAGAAACGTGGGAATCTAATAGTTAATTTGATAAGTTATTTTAATTTGCATATTAATAGAATAATAGTTAATATTGTAAGTTATTTTTATTTGCATATCTAAAAGATGAGCTTTGGATTACAATATTCATTCATGTTTATATTTTCAAAATAAGTAGATTTTTTTCTCCTTCGGCAATTATACGATCTCCGTGTGAGTTGAATTTTGGAAAGTCAGCATACGTCATTTCCTAACCTGATAACATTATAAATTCAAAATTTAAGTTTTAAAATTCAACATCATAAATTTAAGTTTTATAATGCAAGTACCACTACTAATATGTTAAAAATGAACTTGGTATATATATGTTTAACAATATGTGGGCTTCCATGTTTCATATACTTTGCTTTATAAATTACAAAACCATGATTTATTTCATATTTTAGAGGTTACAGGTTAATATCATGTATCTATCACCTCTTAAAACTTTATGTTTATGGTGTATACGTTCGAAGTTATATAATTAACAACGATAAATTTAGATTTTACTATTCTAAATATATATCTGGTAATGATTACAAAAAGACCCGAAATAGGAACGAATTGGTTTTATCAGTTCGAAAACTACAAACTTACATTACGTTTTATGTACATATAACAACTTGAAGGAAATTTTTTATCTAAAATTTAAAACAAAAAATAGAACAAGAAAAACATAACTCTAAAGTATGATACGGTGAAACTCAAGAAACAAACGAAATGATTTTTAGACCTAAAAAACAAATTAAAAACATGGTGAAGGTGGCATTGTTCTTTCAAATATTTTTTTTCTCCAAATTTCAAAAGGAAATTATTTGAAGAAAGAAATTAATTAACGCCTAGAAAGTATTTCCGAAATGACAAATTTCAGTCCGTCTTAAAAACCCAAAGAACTTTATAATGGCGGCGCAATTCGGGATAACAACATAATACCAAAACAGTGTGTTCAACCTTCGTGTGATGCAATCAAATTTTGATGTATTATATGTTCTTTAGAAGATCACATGTTTCTGTTTAGAAACTAATCGTTGAAACGAATATAATCGCCAAAAGAAACTATTTGATGCAAGAAAACTATTCTTTCCGCAAAACTGACTGATAATAACAAGTATATGTTTTGTCTTTCTTGAAATATATAACATGTTTTCAAATAGAACTAATTAGTGAATGAAACTATTTGTCATCGCCGCTTTGCGCGGGTAGACGGCTAATATATATATAATATATATATATATATATATATATATATATATATATATATATATATAGATATACTAATTATCAAAGTGCTCACTTAATTCGATTGGTGTTAACTTTATTGACTTGAATCACCATATATAATTAAATCTCTACCATTGAAAAAAAATCTAAAGATTCATATTTGACCGTCTTGGTTTTAAGACTTTGGTCTTAAAAATAATGGGGTCGACTATTACATATTATATACATTATAAAGTAATAAAATATATATATAATATATATATATAGATACTATATAATATATATATAATATATATCTATTAAATTGTGAATAACAAATATTATATAATTATATAATAGAATTGACCAAAGAAAATTCAAGAAAATAACAAATTTGGACAAATCATTTAATTGGAATTTCCGTTAATCAATTTTCTAAAAATAACTAGTACAATGGTATTTTAGTATTTTTGTGGGAATTATAGAAGGAAAATAAATACTATTTGATTTGTAAGATTATGGCGAAAATCAAGGGATGTTTTTTAGAAATAATCTAAATGTATTTATCATTAAGTTAGACTCAAGGGTATGTGGAAATGATCATTCACTTTTTGTCTACCATGTCAGTCTTTCTTTTATTTTATTTTTCCACACAAAAACCCAATGTGTGTATGGTAAGAATCTCACTTTTTTTAAAAAATTTATTCCATACAAATATTATACTTATTTTATAGGCAATTAAAAACCATGAATTTTGATATATTTTTTATAAATTTTAATAGGTATATAATTTAACAAATATTAAAAACAAAAAAAAATACTAACCAATCACACGAGGAGAGAGAGAGAGTGGATGATAGACTCCCCTCATTTTTTTCCTTAACCATTTTTCCCTCACCCACGGTATGGTGTTTCATGGTGGGGAAGCTTTCCCTCACTCTTTTCCCTCAGCACACTGCCGGGCCTTAAACACAAGTGCGACTTATGCACAATGTCGGTTTTGAGCCGGCTTAATTTTAGAGATGGGTAGATTTCTCTCTTGTCACCGCCTCTACCGTCTATATTGGGGATAAATGACCAGGAACTTCATTTGCTCAACAGTTAAAGCAACGGAGGTTGGCTTCGAGCGTGTTTCGTGGCCGTGATGAGCCGGAAAATTCTAAAAATAAAGGACTTATAATTGAAATCTTATCTTTGATTAGAGAAGATAATTAGAAGATTTTTAATGTTACTTTAGAAAATGCTCCAAAAAAATGAAAAGTTGGCTTCTTCGACGATTCAAAAAGATATTGTCAATTGCTTTTTCAAAAGAGATAATAGAGTCTATTTGTGATGAAATTGGTAAAGATGTGTTGTATATTAGTTGATGAGTTTAGTGATGTTTCCAAAAAAGAACAAATGCTATAGTTTTGAGATATGTTGATAGACTTGGGATTGTAAATGAAAGATTTATTGGATTTTTTCATGTGTTGGATACATCTTCTTTGACTCTTAAAGTCGTCATCGATTTTGTATTTACCGACAACAACTTGAGTATGACACGGGTGAGAATTCATAAAATATTTATTATTATTATTATTATAATTATTATTATTATTATTATATGTGTGTGTGTTTTATGTCTTATATCTTTTATTAATTTTTTGAAATAAATAGGTGATGGGGCAAGGTTATGATGGAGAAACTAATATGAGTGGTACATTCAACGGTTTGAAATCTTTGATATTAAAATAAAATAGTTCTGCACATATATACATTCTTTTGCACACCAAATTCAGTTAGTGGTTGTGGCGGTAGCAAAGAAACATGATGACATTGAAGAATTTTTTGAACACCTAGCTTTGATAGTTACTGTGGTTTGTGGTTCTTGTAAGAGAAAAGATATGATACGAGATATGAAAAAAGAAAGAGTTAAAGCCAAATTTTGGTATTGGTGAAACTGAAACTGGAAGGCGGTTAAATCGAGAGATTTCTCTTGCTTGAACTGGAGATACTAGATGGGGTTCACATTATAAAATAATTTGTAATCTGATGAATTTTTTTGTTGAAGTTGTTGAGGTACTTAATTATGTCAAAGATGAGGGGTCTAGAGTTGAAGCCGAAATTTGGTATTAGTGAAACTGAAACTGGAAGAGGGTTAAATAGAGAGATTTCTCTTGCTCGAGCTTGAGATACTAGATGGTGTTCACATTATAAAACAATTGTAAGTTTGATGAATTTGTTTGTAGAAGTTGTTAAGGTACTTAATCATGTCAAAGATGAGGGGTCTCGTTTATCTAACCGTAATCAAGCAAAGGGTATTTTGTGATATTTCAAGACACTTGATTTTATGTTTCTTTTACACTTGATGTTGGAAATTCTAGGCCTCATGGATACATTGTTAAAGCATCTTCAAAAAAAGATCAAGATATTTTAGAAGCGACTTCATTAGTAAAAGGGACAACAAAAGCATTACTAGTTTTTAGAAAATATGTGTTTCCACAAATTTGGAAGAAGGTATGTGCTTTTTGTGAAAAATATAGTATTGGAATTGTGGACATGTTAGAATATTTTGTTATCCCATGAAAGCATAAGACTAATATGACTAATCAATATCACTTTGAAGTTGCGATTTTTAACATGATTTTGGATATGTAAAATTTAAGAATTTGGGGATCGATTTAGTGAAATTTGCACGAAACTGACAGAGAATATGGCGGCTTTGAGTCATTGTGACTTATTTTTTAGTTTTGATAAATCAAAGTTGTTGAAGCTAAACGAGATATACAAAAATGATTTTGATGATTCAGAAATGGTGCATCTTAATAGGCAAATTGATATCCATTATCATTCTTTGCTTCATGATGAGATATTTGTTAACTTGAAGGGAATTTGTAGACCTATCTTGTTTGTGGTGGAAACAGAGAAGCATCTCTCTTTTCCTTTGGTTTATAGATTATTAAAACTAACTTTGTTTTGTCAGCCGCAACCGCAACCGTTGAACGATGTTTTTCTACAATGAAATTGTTAAAGACCGATTTGCATACTATAATAGGTGACGATTTTATGAATTGTGCTTAGTGTAGAAAATGAAGCACTTGAGAATGTAAAAAATGAAAACATAATTACTCAGCTTTCAGAAAATGAAAGAGCAAATAGGAGAACTTTAAAATGTAACTTTGACACTTTTTTATATCTAATGAAATACAGGTTTTTATCTTTTTTTCTTATTGTATATTACACAGAATTTTTTTTGATGTTACCCCTTTGCTTTTACCCTGATTCCACCACTGTATTCGATATACCAAAATCAGTTTACTTCAAAGTTCAAAATGTCTATATTTAAACCGAGTCACCCTCTTTTCCGATCCTTAAATTAACCAGTCACATAACATTCTTTTCTCCAATCTCATCTTTCCAAGCACGCCTAAATTCCTCCATCACACCATTACTCAGAAGTTTGTAATCCACTCATGGTTTCAATGCAAATATGTTCTCCAAGTAGGGTGTTATATTGACACCACACGTATCCAATCCTTCATGTTCAGGTGTTGCTCAAACTCAAGCTCACAGACCCGTGAATAGTGATTCTGGTTCAAGGTGACTTCAGTCTTCAAGATTCTACTCTGATTTATGTTTTCAGTGATATACTATTTGATCATCAAGTTTAGTGGCTATGGTTCAAGTTAGCAAAACAGCAAAATGACAAATAATCGAATATGATATTTAGGGAATAACATATGAAATTATCTTAAGATGGAAATAAAATTGCTACTACTGTATTCTTTTCTATATATAATAAGCAACCAAAAAAATAAAAATTTGACCAAAGGACGTGATGGATGATGATCCACCAAAATCAACTTACAATATCCGTTTTTAAACAGATGTGATATGAGGTTGGAAACATTCATTCATTCATTCATTCTTTAATATTAATATTGAAAAAGAGAAGATGAGGAGATCCAACTACACCCTAGATCGGAGGGAATTAGTTAAGTTACGTGCTCTCAAAGCCAAATATCCGAAAAACACCTGCATCCATAAGATTTTGTTAATTACTACTACTTTTACAAATACAAGTTTACTACTTAGTTACCTTCATCCGCCTGATACTTGTTTTTGTCATCACCAGCATACGCGAGCAAATTGTATTTTGGATTCCACTCCACGCTGTTCATGGCTGCCCGACACGGGATTTGGTGAACTGACCTCCCACTTTCTACATTCGACTGTAGTGTAGTGTAGTGTAGTGTTTCCATTCATACATCATACATACATACATACATACATACATACATAAATATATAATAAATATAACAAGGGAGGGGATATCCACATACTATGTCGATGAATAAGTCTTCACTAGCGGAAGCGATATATTCACCCGTGTGATTGAAGCTTATGGTCCGCACTGGCCATCTGACACCCATTTTTTTTAGAAGAAAAAAAAAACAATTATTGCTCATCCTAACCACATAACTTAACATAATCACCATCCATGTAAAAGAAGAAAATAAAAAGACACACAGACTGACTCTCACTCACTCGAGCTTTGTGAATGTACGCACACAAAGCATTTCCGAGATATCCCACAGACTCACCAACGAGTCCGCACTTCCAACAGCAAAATATCTGTCAAACCCAAACCCAAATCCAAATCCAAATTCAAATCCTTTTAGTCAACAGGAAATAATAATAATAATAATAATAATAATAATAATAATAATAGGAAGAGTAAATTACTGAAATCGTCCTTATGGTTTGGTCAAAATTTCACGTGTGGTCCCTAACTTTTCTTTTGCACTCGGATCGTCCTTGTGGTTTGATTTTATTATGTTTTTCGTCCCTTACATACATAAAATTAGGAACCAAACGTGCAATTTTGACCAAACCATAGGGACGAAAAACGCAACGAAATCAAACCATAGGGACGATCCGAGTGCAAAAAAAAAAGTTAGGGACCAAACGTGAAATTTTGACCAAAACCATAGGGACGATTTCAGTAATTTGCTCTAATAGGAAAGAATTGACGAGACCTTCCCAAGGGGTCAATAGCAATGCAATAACAACCAGCAGTATGAGCTGTCAAGGTGTCAACCGCTTGAAGCGATGGGTATCCCAGCACTTCAACAGTACCTGATCACCACACCCCAACACAAAATTAAATCTAATTAAAAACAACAAGTCAACAAGTCAACTATTCTCACCATTTCCAGTAGTCAAGAAGAACATGTCCCCACTCATGTTCCATGCGATCTCATTTACCTGACAAAAACAAAATTAATTATTATTTCATCAATCTAATAATCTATTCAACTCCACAAATACGGTTAGGAGTAGGAGTATACTTGCCTCATAGTTGAATTTGCGCTTATGGATGGGCTTGAATTTTCGAACATCTAGTATTGTCAGTTCATCATCCTATTTAACATATATATAATAAAGTAGAATTAACATAAACTTCCTAAATGTTGTTAAGGAAATTTTGGTAAATGGAAATAAGGAGAATATACCCGGTTCCCAACTGCTACATGAGTCCCATCTGGTTTATAGGTAATGTTAATGTTCTCCCCACTGAGTTCTGCTTGCTGTGAACATTTTCCACCTGTTTATTCGCATGTAGATCAATAAAGATTACTTTTTAAAAAAAATATATAAAAAAAATTATTTTGTATTTCGACTTACTGCGGACATCCCATAGACGAACAGTCTTGTCACCTGATGCAGTGGCAATCAAGTCGGCATGTTTAGGATCCCAACATAACTGATCTACACTATCTGTATGCCCCTTTAGTTCAAGATCCTTAACCTTGCTCTGCAACACAACAGAGTATATAAACAATACTAATTGGGTGTTTGAATAGAGTAACAAGACTCGAGAGACGAAATGAAGAAGAAAACTTACGTGGCCATGGGGCTCGATATGCCATACCCGAGCTGTTTGATCCACAGAGCCCGATGCAAGCTTTGTGCCAATGCAGTTCCAAGCGACTGAATGTACCTGTATCGGTATTATGAATCGAATCAATTTATACCCTAATTTTCTTTAAGATGGATACAACAATCATGGGCACAAAGCTAGGGTTTACAGCAGGTGAAATAATTAGGGTTTAGCGAGGATAAGGAAGAGGGAGATTGGGATTGGACCTTCTTCTTGTGGCCTTGATATTCCCTACTGTGGAGGTTTTTGAAGGGTATTGTTTCTGCCATTGCCTGATTCCCTGTTGTGTTTCAGACTTTATGCGATTCAGCCAAATTGTTATTATGCTTTTTCTTATTTTAAAGTGACTGTTTTTTTTAGAATTTGAAGAAGAGAAAAAGGGATTGATAACAAAGCTACAGGTAAAATTAGGTAAAATTACAGTCTCTCAATTAAAAAACGTTTCCTCAGATTGTTATTGATTTTATAGGTTCAAAAGAACAAGATGAGAAGTTAGCCACAGAGAATCTCTTCCTCGAAATGATAGAGAAAAACCAGGATGAAGCTGAAGTCGATTACCTTTGAGAAATTGTTGTAGAGTACTATCGATTTTTGGAGACTGTTCGCGAGTTTTGGAGAAATCGAATTGAGAGAAATCAGTGTGGGAATGACCGGATGGGATAACACTGAAATCTTGAATCAGGTTACATGATCGAATAAAGTCCATGGGCTAACTGAAATAGGTCGAGTAAATTCAGAAATCCAAGTCCACTAGCTCCGGTTCAACCGGATATTAAATTGTTAAATGTAACCGGTTCAATTAGTTTTTGAGAAACCCGGCACATTCAATCCTGTTGAGAATTAAGCTAGCAAAAATCTGGTGTTAATTAAACTCTCTTCCTTGGGTCCTGATTCAACTCGCCGTAGGGGTGAGCAAAAACCAAATCTAAAAATCCAAAAACCCATAAAACCAAAACCGAAAAATCAAAATCGAACCCAAACCGTCGGGTTTGAGTTTAAATTTTTAAAAACTGAAAAATGGGTTTTGAGTTCGATTTTAGTACCTCAAACCGACCCAACCCAAAATTATTATATGTTTTTCAATGATATGCTATAATTTGACTTTCTATGTCAAAGGTAATATACTTCAAATGAAAAGAATATGGATTTTGGTACTAAATTACACCAAGTATATGTCTTGTGTTGTTTTAGTGAAACCAAGATTATTATCTCGTTGTCTGCTACTTGTTTTGTTTCTAAAAGCTTGTTAAACCTTGTTGTTCTTAAACTTGATGGTTGTAAACTTTTAACAACATACTTCTGATGTTGTGTTGGTGTTAAAATTGGTTTTTTTAGTTTCTTTAATCTAGGTGTTAAATTTGTTTCATTTTTTAAGTTATAAAGATTTACTAAAAATGGGTTACAACCCAAAACCCACGGGGTTTAAACCCAAAACCTATCAACCCATGGGTTGAACCCAAAAATCGAAACCGACCAAAACCCGAACCGATGGGTTCTAAAACCCAGAAACTGAAATACACGGGTTGGGTTCAGACCGACCCAACCCAGCCCATGCTTACCCCTAACTGGCTGGGTAGACCTGAGTTTTAAAACATTTGTTATTTTGACAAAAGACATTGTATTTTGACTTTTTTTAAATGTCCATGAAAAAGTTTCATAACGGAAATTTTAAGTCTTGTATTTATCTTTTGACTATTTTTATGGCATACACAATCCAAGTTGTATAGAAATTTGATAAGATGGTGACAAAAAATGAATATATGTTTAATGAAATGCAGGTGATGACATAAAATGGAGTTGAATGATCATTCAACACTTCAATAAGGGGAATAAAGTGGTGATTAGAGTTGAATATGTGTTTAATGAGTGAGAGTTAAAGTAAAGTTGTATGGGTATATAATGGATGATGTGACAATGCATTAAACTATACAGAGTTTAATTAATTATGGATGTTCTTAGGCTCCGGGGAGTGTGTAACATCCCAAAAATCGAGACCAAAATTTTCATTTTTAAATTGTTTATCAAACCATATCTATCAAGTCATAAACATAAGTCGTAATATCAAATCAGAGTATTAATTCAAAACATGTTCATTTTATCAGAGTAAAACATCTCATGCTAAATAAACAATGGTGTGTGCCATGCGATCACCCCGAGCTCTTCCCTCCGCTACCGGAAGTACCTGAAACCAAAACTGAAAACCATAAGTACGAAGCTTAATGAGTTCCCCAAACTACCACATACCATACACATAACCACATACTGGGCCCCCGCCCGCTGCATCGAGACTTGCCCGACATCGGACTTGCTCCGGCATCGGGCCCCGCCCGGCATCAGGCCCCGCCTGTCTCCGGGCCCCGCCTGCTAAGCATCGGGCCCCGCTCGGTATACATATATGTTTCTCTTAGGCCCCGCTTGTCTCCGGGCCCCGCCCGCTAAGCATATCCAAACATATATAATAACACATAACACATAAGCTAGTCATATTCTACTGTATCCCTGTACTAAGGCCTCACCTATCTTGGGCCCTGCCCCTGACCTGCTACTGGTGAGTCATGGAACCCCGTCCACACTCCTGCTGATAGTGAGATACGGGCCCCCGCCCACACTCACTCCTTTCCTCACTCGGGCCTTGCCCCTGCTATACTTCTAATGAGATATGGAACCCCATCCACACTCTGCTAATGGTGAGATACGGGACCTCGCCCACACTCACCTCCCTAACAGGCACATACAAGTATCATACAGACAAAAAGTATAACCTATCATGCAAACATACCTCGGGCTCCCGCCCGACATCAGACCTTGGTCTGGAATATCATACTAGCATACAGTGCCTAGGGCTATCCCCCGGGTCTTCCTACTCATAAACTACATGGGCCGGCATTGTGGCCTTAGACCCATTCACACAGTGAGGAGACTCACCTTCCACTGCTGAAACCTTGCTGATATCCCTCTGGCTGCTATCTGCCAATTCCCGAACTACTGCTCCTTCGGCTCCTGAGCTACCAACACCAAATTAACACTTAGTCCAATACAATATTCCTCCATAGGTTAGAATGACCATTCTACCCCTAGGCCAACTTGGTCCATAACTAAGGCCCACACCATAATATAAAAGGCCCAACACTAGGTAAGCTTCCCAAGCCCACTAGTGGCCCACTAATGGCCCAATTTGATAAACTAGGCCCAATCCCTCTAATGGGCCTTACCCTAAGCCCAAATATATCCTTGGCCCATAATATCTGACTTCTGATGGCCCAAAAGGTCCAAAGACCAAAAACATGACCCAAGCCGAGGCCCAACACATGCCAAACCCAAACTGATGATTACGCTGGGCGTACTCCTATGTACGCTAAGCGTACTAGCCAAATGGTATGTATGTTGGGCGTACCTGAATGTACGCTGAGCGTACTCCCCCTATTAGGACATTTTCCCATTAAGTGCTTAATATTCCACTCCAGAGGCTACCAACTCAGATCCAGGTCCTTTTCCACGTCTTAATCCATAAAGTCACTAACTTGGTGACTTGCAACCCACCAAATAAGCCCAAACTCAAAAGGTGACAACATACTTCCATAGCAAGGGCTATATATCATGCATGAACTCATTAGGACCATCAAGATTGAAACTTTACTACTTATGGGACACTTTTAGCTCTGAGGGTGGCAACCCCAAGCTCAAAAACGAAGTTGCACCATAAAGGTCCATTCTTTGGACCTAAAAAGGTCCAAAGCTCCATAAACCTAGATCTAAGCTTCTATGAGGAAAGTTGGAAGCTTTATACCTTCTGGGGTTTGTAAATGAGCTGGAGAACTTGGATCTAAAAGCACTTCCTTGATCAATGAGACTCCAAGATGATCACTCTTCTCCAAGAACACTAAAATGCACTCCAAAATGGCCTTACAAGCTCCAAGAACACTCAAGAGGGTTTAGGGTTTCGTAGCAACTCTTTAGGGTGGAATGGAGGCTGAACCTTGAGGGTATAATGTTCCTTATATAGTGGCACACCCTAAATTTAGGGTTTATGGACTCTGGACGTACGCTGGGCGTACATCCTGTACGTTGGGCGTACGCCAAAAGCACCCGCGACCATTTCCCTTTATACGCTGGGCGTACCCACGCGCCTTCCACTTTGCATGCATGGTCCTTCTTGCCAACTTCTTCAATTAAGGGACCATTAATGTCAATAACTTCAAAGTGCTATAACTCCTTCATTCTAACCCCGTTTCCGACGATCTTTATATCCACGAAAAGGTGGCGAGAAGCCCTACGCTTCTAGTGACACACCTCGGCCCAAAACTTCTCAAATAAAAACTTCAAGACCCATAAAAGACAGAAACGCCCATAGCCTCGGGCTCTGAAATCCATAAACGAATACTTTCAGAACAGGGCGTCACAACTCTCCCCCACTTAAACTAGACTTCGTCCTCGAATTCCGCTACAACCAACTATCCTGTAATCTACTCGCAACATTCTCGCCCGATGCATACATCACCTACTGGGTCCGATCCCCGAAGGACCACTACCTATGGTCTTCTATCCGGTCTCTTCGCAAAATAATCCCTGAAGATAAGAACCCCGAGAGCACTTTAATCACCAACAATCATGAGAACACGGCTCTTACCCAACCGACAATCCTTTCGGTTCTCCCCGAGTACTTATGTTGGACATCCCAGGGGTTCACCCCTTCTCCTTGTGCGTTCGCTAGCCTTCCTAAGGCAACTTTCCATAAACAACAACCTTCTCTATCTCTGCGAAGGATACACCCTTCGATGTATCCACTTCTACAGCCACTCCCAGTGCTGGTCACTACCACTGATACTCACAGAATGCTTCCTCTTACTATATCCTGATGCTGAAAACCCATCCCAACGAATGGATCAGATAATCCTTTGAGTAAAAGATTCGTCCCTACAACGGTTAGACTCATACGAGAGCAGCGCAAAAGGGTCAGACCCTTCCCTCTGAGATTATTTAACCCTGTTGTGAGCGGCGTAGCACTCCTCGATCAACTAGCTGCCCCGCACCAAACTTCTCTTATCATTACTTCCCCTAACTGGAGATTCAGCTGTCTCTTATTTGCCTTCCGGATGAGCCGAGACCACCCTGGTCCCAACTAATCTGCCATTAACTGGGTTACCGGAATCCCACCAGTTACTGAACGCAAGCTCAATCGCTCAGTCGCTCCCAGCGACTCCTGAAGGAAACTTCGGCTATCTAAACTGTTCTATCTAACCTGCCCCTCTAGCTCTACAAGTCCTGGGATCCTCGATCCCCTATCTTGACCCTAAGGTCTCTACCAGATTCCACCTGCACTGCTACCAACATACGGGCCTCGCGCAAGGGTCTCACCCACTATATCTTGGAGCGGCCTCTCCCAAGGTCTCACCTCTCTAGGGCTATGCATGACAACTCCATACTAAATCTCAACGAGCTATCCTTTCCTGATTTCTATCATGCTAACTAGGAGACACGGGCCTCTCCCCAACTCCGCTAACTAGGAGATACGGGCCTGGCCCCAACTCCGCTAACTAGGAGATACGGGCCCTCGCCCACACTCCTCCGATTTAAGAGATACGGGCCCTCACCCACACTCCTCTAACTGGATACTAACGAACGTTGCGGCTATCCCGCAGTCTTACCACACTCTCCATGTTGTCTCTGCCACTGACTACTAATCCGAAAGCATCCCATGTCGTACGTTCGCATAATCTACATCCCGACTCACTCGAGTCTTGCTGGCGATCCTCCGACCTGGTTTCCCAAACCAGCCCTCAGCTAACATGAATATACAAAACTCAAAGTTG